GAAAGCTTACTTAACTTTAATTTTTCAGTCATAATTGTGTAAGCTGAGCTAATTGAGATGCTTATGGTGTTGGCTGTTGTTGCTGCTATTAATTATCTGTCCTCTTCAATTAGGGTGGTAACACGATTAATTTTTTTCCTTGCAAATTGATGTGGATGGACTACTGCTGCAGGTTTCTTCTTCAAAATCATCTTTTCCTTTCTTAAACCAGGTTGAGTTGCCCATTTGTAATCTGCTAATTTGGGGGGGGGGGTCTTTGTCCTCATAAACTTTTCATAAAGCATTCATGACTTCACCATTCTTCTACCCAAGCTTCAACAAAAATGTGACTTTTGTTCTTACTTCAATGCTAGCAGAATTCATGTTGCTTTGATAGAGGCTCTTTTCAAACTGATGTTTATCCTTCTTTTCTGCATGGTCCTTCTTAGTGCCTCAAACTAGATACTGTTGAGATATGTTACAACAATTTAGTATAAGTTTATTTTGGTGTAAAATTGTTTTGAAATCCATGCATGGTTTTTTCATATACTCAGATAACTGTATCTAGTTACAAGATTGGCCAGGATTCAGGCTGTACTCTGGGTAGCCATGTGCCCAGGTATAATTTAGGAGTCTTATGCCTGGAAAAGAAAAGTGCAATAGATGTTGAGGAACAGCTAGCAGTGTGACAGAACTACCTTATTCACCACTTATATCCTAAGCATAATTAGTACGGCCCTTACCATAGTAGGCATTTATTAAATAGTGGTTCAGTGAATGAATGTCCCTTATTGCTCTTGCCAAAAGAGGTGTTGATCGGGATGTTTACTTATGTACATGATAAATTATGGCAAGGTTGTCCATCTTTGGTGTGTTTATAATATTCTTTCTCATTTACCCTTTACAAACGAGTTATTCCTGACAGTCTTCAGACAAATATAATGCCTTGCAAAATTTATTTCAGCTATTTTATTACTGCTGGTTTTTTCCCCAACTAAGACATGGAGGCCCATTAAAAATTTCTTTTCATGTGTCTGTGATCAATACTTCTTGCAAACTCAGCAAATGCTTTTCAATTGAAATGAATGGGAATAAAAGTTTGATGATTCCAAGCTATTTATTTTCATTTCTTTTGATTTTTTTAAAGAAAAGCTTATATCTAGAATTTACATAGAAGAAATGCTTAATCTTAAATCTTCATTTATTACAAGATTTTTAGAAATATTTATTCAGCTTTCAGGTAGAATGTGATTATGACATTTTGTACTTACTTATGGTTAAGTACTAATTCATTTATGAAGTTATTAAGCAAAAGAGACTACTATAATTCAGTAAAAAGAGAGAATTCTTAATGCATTTGACTCTTTCACCTCATATCTAATATAGCTTGTCAGTGTGCTTAACCATTTCAAAGGAAAATGCCATTTCTTTTTCGTTGCTTCACAGAGAAAATCTTCTTTATGTATAAAGATAGATGAATCAGTTATTTCCCCAAATATTATAGACAAAGCAATACTTCATAGTTATATTTTTTTCTGAGTGAATTCACTTACTTTCTTGTTGGCATGTTTTCCAGATTAACCATGTGGCATTAAAAAACAAAACACCCATCTGTATGGCTGTTAGAATTCTTAGTCTTATTTTTTTTGATCTGGAAGGATCACATATGTTCTCAATAGGCAATAATTTAAATTATCAAATAGAAAAGGAGGAATTCTTCCCTATTGCATTGACAAAGAAATTGCAATGCTAGTTACTTTTATTGAGGCTATCAGGGATTTGAGGAGAGAGACATATTTGCTAGGCCAGCCAGGCAAAGTGTTTGGGTTTTATAAAATTCCAAAAGATGAGTTATAAGCTACTCAGGCATAAATAGATCATTTAGGTTATTTTAATTGAATAAAAAGTCCCTAGAAATCCATAATGTTTTTCACGAGTCCTGGAAGTGTATTTTGGAATGTTAGTTAGGTTGCTTGAACTTGATTTCTTCCAATATGTTTATTTTAGATGCTGGGAAAGTAACTTTCAAGTTTCATTAAAGCTTTTGAGATAATTTACAGCTTGAGAAAGTTATTGAGATGAAAATCTCCAGTGATAGGAAACTTAGTTCTTTGTAAATCAGTCCATTTCATGTTTAGATTACTCTGACTGGGGTGTTATTGTGTTGCAATTATACTGGCTCTGAAGTCAGATAGTTTCAGGTCATATTTTGTACTACCACTTACTGTGTGACCTGAATGAGTTATTTAACTTTTCTATGCCTCAGGTTTCTCATTTGTACACTGTAGAGGATAATAATGCTTCGCAGAGTTGTAACGTTGAGAGAGCAGGGTAGCTAGCATTTAGAATAGTGCTTAGCACATAATAAATACTTAGTAAGTGTCAGTAATTGTCACTTCCATTATTATTGTTAATATTTTGTCATAATGAATTGAAACCTGACGCCAACAAGTATTTAGGAGATTATACCAGCTGAAATCTTCATTTCTAGCACATATGCCACCAAGTAAAAGATGAGTAATAAGCTACTCATCTTTGCAGAGGAAGAGGAGAAGAATGCTGAATTTAGGTTTTGTTTTGTTTTGTTTTGTTTTGTTCTAAGAGAGACAAGGTCTCACTCTGTCACCCAGGCTAGATGCAGTGGCACAGACACAGCTCACTGTAGCCTCAAACTCTTGGTCTCTAGCAATCCTCCAGCTTAGGTTCCTGAATAACTGAGTTTACAGGCACATGCGATCTCTCCTAGATAATGTATTTTTGTTTTTCTGTAGACATGGGGTCTTGCTTTGTTGCCCAGGCTAGTCTCAAACTCCTGGCCTCAAGCAATTCTCCTGCTTTGGTCTCCCCAAACATTAGGATTATTGGTGTGACCTACTGTATCCAGCCTGAATTTAGGTTTTCTCTTTTTTTAAGTGTATATTTTTTGTAGCGACAAGGTCTCATTATGTTGCCCAGGCTAGTTTTGAACTCCTGGACTCAAGCAATCCTCCTGCCTTGGCCTCCCAAAACATTGGGATTACAGCCATGTGCCACCATGCCTGCCCTGGATTTAGTTTTGAATGTGTTGAATTTGAATGTTTGTGGGCTATTAATCTTGAAATACATGAATTTGAAGAAGGATGTGGTGTTATTGACATATGTGTGGTAATTGAAACTTTGAGAGACGAATGAGATAATGTAAAGATCTATCTCGGTCCTTAGAAATCTGGGATGCTAACCTTTAAAGAGCAGGCAGAAGGCCAAGCATGGTGACTCACACCTGTAATCCTAGCACTTTGGGAGGCTGAGGTAGGAGGATTTTTTGAACCCAGGAGTTCAAGACCAGGCCTGGCAACATAGTGAGACCTCATTGCTACACAAAAATAGTGATAGCGCATACCTGTAGTCCCAGCTAATTGGGGGGCTGAGGTGTAAGGATCATGTGAGCTCAGGAAGTCAAGGCTGCAGTGAGCCATGATTGTGTTACTGCACACTAGCCTGGGTAACAAAGTGAGACCCTGACTCAAAATAAATAAATCAATTAAAGAACAGACAGAGGACATAAAGGAGACCATCTAAGAGTAAATAGGAGAACCAGGAGAGAGCAATGCCACCAAAAAGAGGGAGTAATCAATGGTATCTGATGAAACAGAGATCACAATAAAATTGAGAACTGGAACGTGTCCATGGCTTGATAATTAATGGGTCTCTTGTGACCCTCTGGTTTCCATTGAGGAGTGAGTGGAGGTAGTCGTCAGAGAAAGTGAGCTTAGAGAAGGTGATAAGGAAAGAAGACAATAACATGGACTACTATTTTGAGAAATTTTGCTGGGACATGTGGGAACTGGAGGAAGATACAGGATAAATGGAAGATTTTTCTAGAGGGAGTATGGGATGTAGATAGACTGAGGAGAAGAACAGTTAGAAAAGAAAAAGGTTGAATATGAGGAGAGTGTAGAAAGGCCACACACTGATGAGACTGTTTTGAATAGGAGGAGTACCGCAACATCACTGAGACTGGAGAAAAGAGGAATGTGCATATGAGTAAGCCTTTAAGACAGAGGAAGTCATTCCTAAAAATGACTTCATTTTCTCTAGAGAAATAAAAAGGGAGTTTGTCACTGAAAGGAGTCAAGCATTGGAAAAGTGTTTTGAGGAGAATTGTGAAAGTTTAGAGAATAGAATTGAAGAAAACAGGCAAGGTAGCTGACAGATTTGTTCCTTGATTGAGGGATTTTAAAAATATGAACAGCCTTTAAGGATATCACTTAGTGTGGATACCATGAATGTGCTATATGGAAACGCAGAAGAACTTCTGTTTCATTTAACATAGCATAAATTTATTTTGCATCTCATTGTTCAATACATTGTGGCCACATGCTTCCTAAGAGATTCAGATGAGCACTGGTCATCTTATTCAAGGAGGGTATGAGCAAATAGCTCAGATTGAATGATTTGTCACAAATGCAAATGTTTATAATAGGTGAAAATGGTAAATGGCACATCAGTTTCAAAAATATATTGTAAGCGTTTAAAAGAGATAGAGATTCCATCAAATGGGGGAAAATAGAAAGGCCTGTGGAAAAGGCAAAAGAGAGGTTACATGAATTTTTCAATAAAATTGTAATGAAACGAGTCGTGTTTTTAATTTTTTATAGCAATTATTTTTTCTTGACGAGCATTAAGCAGAAAAGGAGAAATAAAGAGATTAACAAAACAGTGAATTCTCTTCTGTCCAAGAGATGTTCAAAAGTTAATTGTGTGTGGGAATATAGAATTCAGTAATCTTTTCCCTAAATATTTAAGGAACATTTCTGTGCTAAGTGCTGAGGACAGAGATGACTAGGATACAGTTTAAGTCCTCAAGGAGTGCATACTCTAGCTGAAGAGACAGAAGTATAGAGGAAGAATTTCAGTTCTGTGCAATGGAGGATATGAAAGTGGTATATCTGAGTGAAGAAATTTAGGACACTGTGGAAGGAAGCATGAATAAATGATTATATTGACATGACAGCAAATTTTTCCCTTTTTCTTTCCTTCAGTTGGAGAGCATCAATTGACAGGCCATAAAGTGGCAGTTAAAATCTTAAATAGACAGAAGATTCGCAGTTTAGATGTTGTTGGAAAAATAAAACGAGAAATTCAAAATCTAAAACTCTTTCGTCATCCTCATATTATCAAACTGTAAGTATTTTTATATCTGATAATACAAAAGAGAGATCTGTCTTGAAACATTTTAAAAGAATTTTAGAAAGTTGTTTATCTTTACTTAACCTTTGACAAAAAAATTATATTTATATTCAGTAAGTTTTAAATTATTTAACCTTTATTAATTCTTTTTTTGCATACTCTTGGTTAGAGTTAAAAGTCATTGTTTTGAAATTGGTACTGTTTTAAGTGTTTTAAGTGATGGATGCAGGCTTGGAAGTTGACTCTTACCTCTAGTATTCACTTTATGAGTCACTCAGGGCTTTGATAGTCCTAAGTTCACTTTTGTAATTTTTCTTTGGTCATATCCTATTAACTTATTGGGGTATGTTAAAGATTATCCACCACAGTTTATTATTTGTAAAACTGAAAGTAACACTGCAATTATTAAGCTTTTTAGGAAAGCAAATTAGTATTTTTTGGAGTAAGTTACAAACTTAAAAGATAAGTAAGTTTTAAGAGATAAGTAAGCTAATTAATTAAACTGAAAGATAAATAAAATTACTTTAAAATTGACTAGACCCATAGAAAATTTAGACATCAAATATGCAATAGTATTCCTTTAAATCACTTGAAATACATATTTCTGAAAAAAATGTAACATGCTAGACACCGAAATTTTTTTTTTTTTTTTTTTTGAGTCAGGGTCTTACTCTGTCACCTAGGCTGGAGGGCAGTGGCATGATCAAGCTCACAGCAGCCTCAACTTCATGGGGTCAAGTGATCCTTCTGCCTCATCCTCCAGAGTAGCTGGGACTACAGGTGCATGTTACCATGCCCGGTTTATTTTTTTATTTTTTTGGTAGAGATCAGGTGGTGTTATGCTGCCTAGACTGATCTCACACTCCTGGGCTCAAGCAGTCCTTCTGCCTTGGCTTCCCAAAGTACTAGTGTTACAGGCATGAGCCACTGCACCCAGCCGAAAATTGTCTTTTTTTTCTTAAAGCTTGCGTACAGTTTTATAAAATAAATATCAATCTTACGTGTTAGTGCCTGCTAGTAGCCAGGAACTATACCAAGAATTTTACATATATAATTTGATATTATTCTAATAGTAGGCCAATAAGTTAGGCTTATTTTATAGACAAGAAAACTGCACATCTAAAGAGTAATCAGCAATTTGTTCAAGGTCACATAGCTAGTAAGTCACAGAGCTATAGTTGAATTCAGACCTGACACCAAATGCCATGCCATTAATCTCTGCTCCAGCACTGTAGTTTTTCTCTAAACTGAGAGTTATACAAAACCCCTTTAAAGAAAAACTACATTTGTGGGTCCTGGTTTTGACTTAATTATTTTTGATATACTATATAGTATTTAGAAACAAATAACTAGGTATAAACTCCATATATGTTATATAGTTTCATTATAATTATGAAACCAAAATAAATTCACAATTTAAATACAAATAAAATAATGAAATTCAAAGCAGCGTCAATAGTATAATGTGACAAATAATGGTGTTTTGTAAAAACCAAATCAATGTTAGTAAGTTTAATAGTAGAAACAGCAGCAAGAGGTCTAATACTTTATTTGTACTTGGATTCAAATAAGACTGTTGTAGAAAAAGCCTGTTCCTATAAATGTTTAAAAGAGCAGTATTAATGTCTCTGAGACATTGGTTTGCCAGTTCATTAAAGTCAGACATATTACTTAGGCTAGCCTTTGTCAGTGAGCAGTCTTTTAATGTCAGTGCTAATGGGGAATAACTTGATAACCCTGTGGAGATCCATTGTTTACCCGATGACAAGGCTGACGTGTAGTTGTGGTAGGTAGAATAATGGCCTCTCAAAGGTCTATGGCCTAATCCCCAGAACCTGTGAATATGCTAGGTTACATGGCAGAGAATAAGATTGCTAATCAGGATTCCCTGAGCCTAGGGGTTTGAGACCAGCCTAGGCAGTTTGGCAAGACCTCGTCTCTACAATAAGTCAAAAATTAGCTGGAAGTGGTGGTGCCCACCTGTAGTTCCAGCTACTTGGAAGACTGAAGCGGGAGGATCACCTGAGCCCAGCAGGTTGAGGCTGTGGTGGCCATGAGCATGCCACTGCAGTCCAGCCTGGGCAACAGAGTGAGACTCCAATTCAAAAAAAAAAAAAAGATTGCTAATCAGCTGACCTTAATATAGGAGATTATCCTGGATTATCTGGGTGGGCCCAACATAAAATTAGAAGGGAGGGATAGAAGAAGAGAGTCAGAGAAAGAGATATGAACGTGGAAACAAGGTCAGTACGATAGGATATAAGGAGTCAACTGGCTATTGCTGACTTGGGAGTTGGAAGAAGGGGAGCATGAACCAACAAACACAGGTTGTCTCTAAACCTAGAAAATGGAAAGAAATTCTGCCCCAGAGTTGTCCGTAGGCAACACAACCCTGCTGACACCTTGATTTTTGCCCACTGAAGCATGTATTAGGCTTCTCACTTAAAGAACTGTAAGATAGTATATTTGTGTTGTTTTCGGCCACTAAGTGTAAAGAATGGCAACAACAGGAAACTAATATAGCATCATTCTTGAAATCTTTAATTGAGTGGGTGGTCCAATTATTGCTGAGATTTGAAATGTTCATTTAGTCTTTATTGCTGTACTTATTGCTAGTGAACTCTTGCTGATTGTTGTGTTTAATGACGGTGCCCATGCAGTGCATCTTTCCAACACATGGCTATGCCACTGAGTGTTCAGAGCAAATTTTTCGTGGTTTTATGTGCCATTAGGTGACTGGTGGATGACTCAGTTTTCACACCACTGCCATGAGACCTTTATTCTTACTGTAAGCTTTAATGTTATATAATCTTTACTTGAAGTTCACTCAATCATAAGCATAGAAAAATGAGGTCCCTGAAATTGCATGGTAATACTTGTTTATAAGGTTATCGCCCAGGACCTATATACTAGGTAAACTAGAATATGAATATAGAAGTTTTTGAAGATTATCAGAGGAATTAAAATACCAGCCATGAGCTCTGTGACTCACCCCTCCTGTCCTTTGTTTCTGTAACTTTTAGATGGGATACCTGTTAGAGTTTTTTGAGTATTAAATATGTTGGCACAGGTATAATGCCTAGTATTTGATAAGCATTAGCCAAAAGCAGGAATTGGCAACCTACAAGCTGATTCCAGTTCTATTTCATGGTTCCAGATGGCTTTTTGTTAACTGAAACAGTTTATATTTGACTTCAACTCTACGTTATTAATGACTTCGTTCTAGTTAATGAGTGACATCTAAGTTAAATCTCTTTTGCTCTTCCCTAATGAGTGGCCATTTCCTGTAAAAGGAGAAAGCTGAAATGACCAAACTAAAAGTATGCAGGGAAGTGAAGAAGGGAAAGATCTCTCCATATTTGCCTTATGTCTTGTCCTCATCACTTTTAGAATACCAGCCCTGAAAGACTCCAAGGAAATTTTGCCCTTTTGGGGTATGAGTCCTAATACCTGTTCTGTTCATAAAAACACAAATCAGACTTTGTCAAGAAGCAGCTGCAGTTGTGATGAGGATTTGAAAACTTATTTTGGATGTCATATATATCACCGTTTTGCTTCCATTTCTGTAATTATTTTTAATCATTTAATTTTTGTTTAATTATTTCTGATTTAGGATTATTTAGTTATTTGGCTATTTTGTTTTCTGAAGAAGTTATGGAACGTTATCAGAGTGGTCAGAAAGTAAGTGGTCAGAAAGAGGTGAATTTAAAGTTAAAGCTTCTGGCTTCCAGCCTTGAGCTTAATCCATTTAGCCATATTGCTTCGTTAATTATGGATCTGATCTTAAAAAAAAAAGCACTCACATATTCTTGCTACAGAACAAGCTTATTGACTTAGTCTCTAATAGTGTTAGTGATTTAAACAAGGAAAGGAACCTGATCCTTTCAGTGGTTTTGTTTGTTTTGTGCAGCTTTGGACAAACTGCCAGAGTAGTTTCCTTGTTGCAAAAAATGGGCCTCTGTAATTAGCAAGAAAGTTATAGCACTAAATACCAAGAATGAAAGATATTTATTGCATGATTTCTCTGTTAATGCAAACTAAAAAAAAAATATATTAATAGGATAAAACCCACTGGTAGAAAATTAAAAGGAGCAAATAGAATTTAAAGGAAAATTAAACTTTCCCATGAAATCAAATTTGCTGAATTGATTTTAATCCTTGTTTTTCTTCCCTCTATAATTCTTAGGGAAACTTAATTTTAACTGGACAAAAGATAAATACCTTCTAATTTGGTAGAGATGGTTTTGCCTGTCTACTCTTTTCTTATATAACCTATGGGGGCTTTTTAATATTATTAGCTGCCACCGCTTTGAAATGTTGTCTCTAGGTTTCCAGGGCACCATCTGGTTTCCTTTTTTTTTTTTTTATTCTTGTCTCTTAAAGCTTTCTCTTATAGGCCCCTCTTTATCTTCCTGGCTGTTAAATATTGGTGTGTTTCAGCAAACAGAGCTAGTGTAGTTTTCTTAGTGAACACTTGACTTCGTCTGCTACTGTGATACCATTTGCCATCTCTGTACTAAAGATTTCCAAATCTATATTGTACCTGGCCCATTTATTTCTCCTGAATTTGGAACACACTTATCAACTGTTTATCAGATGTTCCTATTCTGAAGTCAAAGTAAAGTTTTCTTTTTCTTCCTGGCTAACCCATTTGTTTTTGTTGTTTGTTTTGTTTTTGTTTGTTTGTTTATATAAATGAAAATACCATTCGGCACAGATTCCCATGCCAAAAACTTGGGCATAATCTTTAATTCCTCCTTTCTCCTCATTCCTTACATACAATTAATTCAGTTTTGTAGCTCTTTTTTTAAGTGTCCCTGGCTCTGTCCATTTTTTTCTGCTTTGTCAGGTCACTGCCTTCTCTTGCTTATTGGGCTTGTTTCCTCTGTTTGAAATACTTGACCTGCATCTCCCTTCCTTTAGGCTGCCAGTGCCATCTTGTCTTTTAGATCTCATCTTTTAAATGCAATTACAGTTGGCCCTTGAACAATACA